CTATAAAAACTTACTGAAGAGCAGTATTTTTTCCTTAGAAAATATAACCATAAAAAGGATGAGAATTTCAGATAGGGGGAAAAAGAGTCACATGAGTTGTGTCTCACACTGGAAGATGGATGAGTTTGTTAAAGGATAGATACTAAATAATATACATGCCTATTGCCCGAGCATATTCTTCTGTAATGTGTTTTGATATTTACACCTACTTCACTGTAAAAGCTTAGTGCAATCTCAGAGCTGTTCCAAGTTATATGTTCACATGCAACATCATTTCTCATCTGCTGTCTTTATACTGGTTACTGGGCCTTGTCATCTTTTTTGATTTGCAAATAAAACACTCTCTGTTCTCTCTGGGAGACTTTTCTCAGAGCCAACCCACTCTGAACAGAGAAGCATTTCAAGATCAAAAGAGAGGCAAAATAATACTTTTTTCAGCAAGGAAGATAAAGATACACACATAATTCAACCAGGACTACAGGATTTAAGTAGATATATCATTTAAGAATAATTGCACTGCCATAAACCCTTCAAACTACGGGAGCTAATAGAGGAAAAAGAAAGAGAATTGATAATATGTTGAGGAAGGAGAGATGGGGGTGAGGAAGGAGGAAGGAAAATGGGGTATGTATGCTAGACCCTCTATACAGGTTGTCCATGGAGCAGGTATTATCAAACAATTCTATTTCACAGATAAGCAAAGAGGACAGAAGCTAATTTAACATGGGCAAGCTCACATAGAAAGGAAGAGGTGCAACAATCTCTTTTTTGTCTCTAAACTTGTGGTCTTTTTGTTATATGCTCCTAGAGGCTTCCCCATGATCTCATTTAAGGATGAGATAGGTTTATTGAGTGTAACCATCCATTCATGCTGATTTTATTGAGTGTCTGCTGTTTTCTGGGTACAGATCCAGAAGCTCTGAATCCCAAGACCTGAACTCAGCCTGTGCTGATCAGCAACCTGTCCTGCCTAACACATGACATTCTCTGTACTCCTGGTCATTTCGTTTCCTTATGCCAAACATTGGGCAGGAATTGATATCTTCATTTTACAGATGAGGCTGGAAGTGTTTGTCATTTTGTGAGCAGTACCACAAATAATCTCAAGCCTGCTTGAAATCAAACTTCAAGCTTTCCCATATTACCTCCATGCACTATCATGAAAAATCCAATGTTATGCCAGCAGAAGGCTTAATCAGGTATTTAAGTAGCCAAGAAGAAACACTATATTCAACTGATTGTGCTACAAAAAGGGTTAGTGCAATTATTTCCCTGATGTGTTCTCTGACAACGAAGCTATCAGGGCTAATGTCATAACCACTAAGCTTGAACGTTCATTCACTATTTCATTTACTTGTCCATCATTAGTTACATATGTGTACGATGGAATCTCTGCTTAAATTATAACTGGCTAGCAAGAAATACATATGATGTTGAGTAACCTGAAAATCACATCCTTTCATGTTTTGTATAAGGAGAGAAGATCAAGCCAATATTTTGCCATAACAGACTTGTAAACCAGGCAAGCGTTAACACTTAGAAGTCACAAAGAAGCATAAGCTTTTCCTTGTGAATGTTCTTGCAGCTCTCGGCTGCTCTGGTTGCTTTAGCAAGTCCTTTGGATTCTGATAATGACAACTCTCCTTTTATAGTCACAGACTGAAGGCAAATGTTCTGCAGAATCAAAAATCCCTACAGCCTGCACACAATCAAGCTACATACCTTAAACCAATGTACAGTGGACCACAGTGAACAATTAAAGTGCTCTACTATGGAAAGAGCAAACCACAAACAAGTCTTTCACATCCTCCCGGTTACTTATTCAGAAGTGAACCTTCTGAGTCAGCTTCTAAATAAGCCCTTTCAAGAAGAGTCAATTTTACTTTATTGGACAAGAGAGAGATGAAACCAGGTCAGAAGGTTAACCTGAGTTTAAGAGGAGCACAAGGTTATCTTGGCAATTAAAGGCTCTCCAGGAGGTTAATTACCCACACCCAGCCCTTACAAATCACAGAACATATCAGCAGTTAACAGAAACCCATGTTCAATAGAGAATTCTGGTCTGTACTCTCAAAGATATTGTATCACTTCTTTTTTTACAGGTTTAAGTTATTCCTCCCTTGATCCATCCAGGAAAAAAAAATGAAGATTGTACAAAGTGTTGCAGGAATGGTATCCAGAACCAATACAATGTAGCTGGCATCGGAGAGAGGAAGACAGTGGGAAGGTGACGAGGAGAAGGCAGGGAGCAACGGAGAGGGAGGGAGGAAAGAGAAGAAGAGAGAGGGAGAGAGGAGAGAGAATATGAGTGGGTTAGTAGTCGGGAGGACAAAAGGGAGGGCAGGCAGGACAGACAGTTCAAGGTCTGCTAGTGTCAGAAGTCAGAGCAAGAAATTTGCTAACTGTGACAGCACACATAATGGGCACTCCTGGGACCAGTGTAGAGCAATGGAGTGCTGTGTAGGAGGACAAGCAATGGGATTAAGGTGACCTACAATTTCCAAAGCCTGCACTTCACAAAGTTTGGAAAAGCTCATTTCTCCCTGCTGCCTGGAATGAAGATGAGGTCTGCATTGGAAACTCCTTTCTTGACCCGCAGTCCTCCCCCTCATCTAGATCACCATTGCCTCTAAGGTGGATCTCTATGGAAGCCCTGCACAGTCTCCCCACTGCCCCTGGTGTTAGGTCCCAACCCAACACTGACACTACAATGACAAACACATCTGTCATCCCTGCTTCATGGTTTTCCAGCACATTTCAGGAAAGAAAAAAACAATCAGAATGCTCAAAGGAGTCCCCTTTGTTTTCTTGATTTCCTGCCATTCTCTTTGCACCCTTATAGCCTTCCTTACGTGGGCTGTGGTTCTGTCCCTTGGTCAGAGCTCTGATATCATTACCTACCGCCTGAGATTCTCCTGTCTGGCCCATGCCATCCCCCAGTCAGGCACTGTTATATTCCATTCTGTCCTCAGAGTTCCCCTAAGTTACAGCAACTTTTCACTTGTCATGTGTTCCCCTACACTTCCTGCTCACTCTGTATTGGCTGTGTGTATGGCAGTTCCTGGGGCACAGGCTGAAGCTCCTAGTTCCCACATGGGGCTCCTTCTGCATTTCAGCTGGTTAGAAGAATTATCTTTCCTCAAATGTAGAGATGATTATGTGTATAGCTCAATGAGTAGCTATTTAGCAGTGAATTCTGGAGTGAATGTTTTACACTGATTTTATAGCTTGATTCCCCAACAACCCTGTAATGCTTTTAATGGCTATACCAGTGCAGTTTATACCAAGTGTTGAGAATTGACATAGATCCCTGTCTGTGATATTCTAAAGTATGTATTATTTCACGCCTTTATGTTAAATCTGTAAGCCGGTGTAGGCAGGTGAGAGCCCAAAGAGTGCTCTAGGGAGGGAAATCCATACACTTGAAAAAACATGCTTGCTTCTTTCTCCTACCACAAGTGCACCCAGCAGCCCAGCGGACTGCACCACATCTCTCCTTAGGACATCAGCTTGCCAGGGACAAGTAGGACATCAACTTGCCAGGGACAAGGCAGAAGGTGATCTCAGCCAGATTTGTAGCTAATGAGTCAGTCTCCCTCACTCCTGCTGGGAGGTAATGGATTCAACTATCTGAGAAGGCAGTCTCTCCAGGCGTCCTAGACTCAACTTCTGGAAAGGAAAGAAGCACATAAATATAATATAAGGTGTTATTATTCTGGTGAATGTACTCTAATCCTGGACCAGTTAGGGACTGCAGCCTATTAATACAACTTTGAAAAAAATTATGGTAATTATTTTTTTGGCAGCCTGAAGTCTTTTATCTTTATGAGATGATAGCAATGTTTTAAAAGGATTATCATTGTGCTACGGGATAATAATGAGGATGATCCTTTATTATGTAAAATGCTTTCAGAGTTTTAAAAATACTTTGATTCAGAATGTGAGGTTTGCTCTTAATAGCGATCCTTTGAGCTTCATGGAGTTGAAATGATTTGCTACATTGCACGGCAGGGGAAACTGAGTTTCAGGACAATGGAACAACACTGACCAATCTTTAGCCAAATCCTGTCAGGGAACTCCAAGACTCAGATGTGCTGACTTCCAAGTCCAGCGTTTCTTAAATGAGCCACTACTAGTAAACTGATTTAAAGGAGGACGAAGGGGCGGTATTATTACATTTGAAGCATATGCTTGCCATGTGTGAGTGTGTGTGTGTGTGTCTTTGTCAGCAGAAACAATGGACTGAGTTTAAGTTGTGGCTAAGGACTAAATGATTATCTTAGAAGCATAGACACATTACAAACTCTTAACACATCTTAAGCTACAAACATTGCCATCCATTCAATGTCACGTTACCCTTACACCACAGCATCAAACAAGCACCCAGACTTGAAGCTCGTCAATAAAGACACACAACACATGTAGAAAGCTCTTTCCTATCTATTTTCTCATTCCTTGCTTCATGGTGTTTTCTTCCTGTCTCCAGGAATCATGGTCTCTGAGTTTATATTGCAGTTGTTTCTGTCTTCATGAGTTATGGGAGCACGTTTTACGATTTCAGAAATAGTTATCTTGGGCAGTGAATCAACAAGCCACCTTCTCCTCCCCAACCCTCTTCCCAAGAAAAGCAGCGAGTGGGAGATGATGAGTTTCCTCCCAGGGATGCCCTTCACTTTAACTGCAGCACTGTGTCTCTTCCCCTTCTCACAGTGGGCCATGCTGGCTCAGGGCCTCAATTCTCTCTTCTGATTGCTGACAGAAGCAGAGATGCTCACACACCTGCCTGTGCTCAGCAAAAGGCAAAGGCTGCTGCACCACCCCTGCGTACAGGAGAATCAGGATTGAAACACACCAAAAATCACCACATTCCGAACCAATTAGCCTCAGAGACATATCTTAGTTCTGAAACCTGCTGTTCAAACACAGAAAGCTCATGTTTATGTCGAAGGACATGGAAGTTTAGAGAGAGCCCGTTTTAATAGCTACCTCTATGTGCTTACCTCCAGAAAATGTTCTGCCTGCTGCTCTCGGTCCAATTTCCTTGAAGTTGTTGTAATGAGACCTGTGTAGAAATCAGAATATTTGACTTTTAAATATGCCGGGTAAGTAGTTTACTGAATATGGGAAACAAGTCTGCTTAAAGAAAAAGCATAGGAAACAATAACTTCATCTCCTGTGACAATCAAAGTAGTCTCAGAATTCATTCCTAAACCAAATTTATGGAGAAAACTTGAAACAATTTTTCCCTTTTGCTTGCCACAGTTAAGGTATTGTAATCACTTTGGGGATATAAAAACTCACTAAAGCCCCATTGTTTTTCTGATAATGAGGAGTTTCAATGATTCATTTACATATGCCTGAAATTCTACAGTGGGAACCTCATTAAAGATTTCAGAGTCCTTGAACAATTAATAGGCTGTTGATGCTGATTAGAACCAGGCTATGAAACAGTGCCTCCTTACTGAATCTTTGTATGAGTCTATAACTTTTGTTATCTACTGACAAAGATGATTATTTCTGTAATAACCAGTTGTATACATACTTTGTTCAAATTTAATAACACTTATATACCTCAAGATTTAATTATATCATTTTATCTTTTTCTGTGTTTAGACCTTTATACAAAATAAGTTCTATGTAGAAAATATCTATCCTTCCTTCCAAATGAGTTTTCCCTAAACGACTCACCCCTTTGAGTTTAAGGACAAAGACAAGGGAGTGGGAAGACCCCATTACAAGGCTTCCCAGCGTATCGTACCAATTTGTTCTTTGCAGGCTGTTTCATATTTATGTCAAATAGCAATTAGGAGGTCAAGTTTATTTTCCATTTTCTCAATTCTATAAAGTCCCTGCAGAAGGTATGGAGTGTTCTGACTGACAAGGCAAAAAGCCCAAGAAACTCATCAGAAAAGTTTCCTGCCCATGCTGGCAAAGTATATTACAACAGGGAAAAGGCTTTTCACCCAGATCTGCTGAGGAGCTGATGCCCTCCAGCACCTGTCTATGGCACAAGTGGTAGACAGAAGTACATGGATTTGAGAGAACGCCAAAGAAGCCACGTGTGGTTAACTGCTCCCTGTAACCTTCAAAATAACATCCAAGCCACAGGGTGGCCCCACTCATCAACACCCGTGAACTCCCGGTGGGAGGCGAGGGGAAACGTTGGCTTCCCTTGCACAAATGATGCTCGGTCCTTGCCTTCATTCTGGAATGGCTGTGTCACCCACACATTTTCACTTTTCAAACTGTCACCTGACAACTTACAGGTCTATATTTTGTACAGGGCGTGGAGTACTGCTATGATTTATGAGCATCGTGCATAACTGTCAAGTGGATTAATATTTCTATCAATTACCACATTATTGTCATGAGAACTTCGAAATTATTAGCAACTTTGCAATGCTCAACATACTGTTTTCAACTATATTCAACATACACTTTTTTTTCAAATTTGCTTCAGTTCTAGCCTTCACTGACTAATTTTAATAGGGCCTGGGGCTTATCTGATATGCTCCCATGGAACCAATGTACTCTGCCCTGTACTATAACCCTTTACTCGCATGCCTGTAGTTTCCACTAGGCAACAGATGGGATTACTGCCTGGCAAGGGCCTGCCCTTAAATTCAGAAACTCTGGCTCTGATCTAGTTCCCTACCTGAAAAATACAACAAGAACTCATCAATGCTTGTTACCAAAAATTGTCATGGAAAGGATCTATTACATTCAAATGTTCAGTTCTTCTATCAACTTGGAATGTGTTTGGTTTGGAAGCCCTGGCCTTGTCTGTGGATGGTAATGGTGTGTGACATTTCTATTCATTACATGAATGGGTGGATGCCAGATATTCTTGGATATAAAGGTAAACCATCATCAGAGATGGTAGAAAGAACACTATGCAAGAGTTCCAAAGAAGAGCTCCAAAGTGCTTATGGTAATTCCCTGGAAACTTGACATTGGTCTGTTCCTCCATTCCATCCCTCATTTACTGCATCTCAAGCTCTTTGATAAGGCCTGAACCAGCTTCTGATTCTGTCAGGAAGGCATCATCCAATTCCACTACCCCTTGTGGGAGCTCACTAGGACTACCTGCTGTTGAGAGAAACGACAGAGCTTCTCTAGTCTTTTGGGCTCAGTGTATGTGCATCTAGGTAGGCAAGTAAGGAAGAGAGCAGATAATGGGTGAGTGCCACTTTGGGTGGAGGTAATGAAGGAATAACAGGGCACAAAGTTTGCTGATTCCTATTGTTACAGGTCTGTGGGGTCCGAATGGCAGGCCCCTAACATGCCATCTGTCACTTTCATTTTCAGGCCATTATTTCTGACAGGCTGATATGTCACTGAGGCTCTTTCCAAGCCAGGAATGGCTGGTAGGGTATGCCTGTGTACAATAGGGTACCCTCTGGTAGTGGAGGCTATGTGATGCTTGTTACATCGGGGCTATACGTGGGGTGAAAGGCTGTGGACCTTAACCCTGCAGCTCTTCACACATGAAGAATCAGGGCCTCTGCCCTCTGTCTTCTGAGAGCCATCCTGTTGCTGCAGACCTGCCCACCAGGGTCATGGGATTCCTGACCCCTGGGGTATGACTGTGCACGTCAAATTCTCTCCCGACAGTTCTCAGCACAAGTCCTTGGGGTATCCACTTTTGCCTTCACAGCAACCATGTGTGACTGGGAAAACAGTGTGGTCTCCTCTTCAATTCCCATTACCATGACCTGGAAGCATTTATCACATCCATAGATTCCATATATGTGTGCAACTACAAAAAGTTCATGGGAAATGGTGTTAAAGATTAAGTGTATCTTGGTGCACACATTTTTTGAGATTCATAGGTGTTCTTTTTCATGACATATACTTTCATGCACTTTAAGCAGGCTGTAGATATGCATGGATTTTAGTTTTTTGTGAGATAAGAAGCTTCCTTTTTCATCGTCTTCTCCATAATTTCCTGTAGATAAAGACTCAGGCTCCCTGAAATGTCTGAAAGAACACACAGGACAGTACCCTGAAGGTGTGATAAAGCTAAGCAGTTTGTTTCTAGGACAAAAATGTAGCAAATCTGCAGGGTTTCCTACCACCTTTGCTTCCAGTTATATAAGGTAAAAGGTCAAAAATAGATATAAGGCAAAAACAGAACCAACAGGAAAACAGATGAGGTGGGTGGAGGATAGAGGGGACCTGGGAGGGATATATGGTTTCTTTGGGGGGGATGGTGAAAATATGAAGTTTATGATGATGGATGCAGAATCATATAGTTCGAAAACCATCAAATCCTCGACCTTAGGTTGGTAAATATTGTTGCCTATGAATCCCATATCAATACAACTGAAAGACCTCGGCAGGAAATCATAGCTCTTGCTTTTTAGGGTGCTTTTTCTAACTGCTTCAATAATGATTCATCATTGCTCGACAAGCTGTCTGTTGTTCAGGCAGTTCCTGGCCTGGTTTGTTGCCTTCAGAAGGGGCAGCAGTGTGGCTCTGAGACCTTGCAAGGCTTCACTACTGCATCTGGAGGTCATGTTACCAGCTGTGTGGCTGGGGTATTGGGCTTTTTCCATGGACGTCTTTAATTGCTGTACAACATTTCATCTGTAAGGAACTTTATTCATGGCTTTTCACTACTGCAGAACCCAGAGCTCCTTGCAGTAGAGTAACTGGGTTCCCAGACCCAGTTAACTTTAAACAAGTATGGCCCAGGGAAATCTAACTGCTGCTCCTCCCCCACCCCACTCTGTTGCTGGAAATAGTGGTCTGGTGTCAGGGGAAGGAGCACATACTGCAGCTCTGAATAGTAAAAGTAAAGTGTGTGTCCATGACCTGTTGACAGCCATTTTTGAAGGACAGCAACATACTAAGACATGGATACATTTCCCTTAAGTGAAAGGAATGCAATTGGGGTTAAAGCAATTGATCTTTATACATGACTAAAGAGCATCTGACAAATTTGACCTGTCCAAACCATTACCATACAGACATCTCTAAAAACTTTTTCTGCCCTTTTACATTTTAACACATTTTTTTTGTGTTTGGAATAGGCAAGTGTTTAAGAACACTTGAATGAATGACCTATCAATATACAAATAATTAGCATAGAAATCAGGCAGGTAGGAAGAAAATGAGATGAATGTGATCATCTGCACCCATGGATATCAGCAACACAGACAAAACGTACTTTCTGGGTTAAAGCAATTACTAATAGCTGTTTGTACCACCAAAAAATAAACCTTGCTATGAAGCCAAAGAGAGCTAAGATGGGAGAAGTTTTCTTTCTTCTAAAAAGACATACTTAGGATAAGCTGTGGTACCTCAGCAGCACTGTCATTTAAACAGGTATATTTATTATATATATTTATATGTTTAAATATATATATTTATATATGTTTAATATATATATATATAAAGAGAGATATCAATCTTCCACCAGTTCATGAATTCTTCAAATGCCCATTGCAACTAGAGCTTGGCTCAAGCCAAGGAACCATGAACTCCAAATGAATCTCCCATGTGGGTGGCAAGGACTCAAGTACAGTTGAATCTCCCATGTGGGTGGCAAGGACTCAAGGCAGTTGTATTAGAAGCAGAGCAGTTGGGTCTCAAACCAGATACTCTGATGTGGAAAGCATGTGGCCCAGATGCTTAACCCACTGTGCCATAATGCCCTCCACTGTTGATACTTAGTGTCAGAAAAGAATGAGCGAGCCATCTCCCACAGTGCAGAGGAATCCCTAAACATTACAAGTGCTGGGTGACTCTGCGTTTTGCAAGTTGTTTCAGCTGAATGCCTTTGGCCTGAGGATAGAGAAAGAGGGTAAAACAAAGCATGCTCCTTTTTCATCCTCTCTGACTCATCTCAATGGAAGGCAAGCCCACTCTATAATCTAGCAAATAAGAGGCGTGTATATCACACATGTAACTGTAGATCCAATGGGTGCACTAAATAGGGCAATGACATGATGAAATTCAATTCCAAAGAGAAATCATGGGCATTTGAATGTGGTTTGGAGATATACACAAACACATCATTTGAAATAATTACATATGCAAACCTCCAATTTTAAGAAG